CCCCCCCCCCCAAAAAAACAGTAACAACAGAAATTAATCAGATTTGAACAAAAATAATTAATACTGATGTTTGTCTTAGAGGAATAGCTCACCCAAAAATGAAAATTGACTCAACCTCAGGCCATCCAAGACATTGATTGACGGACTGGAGTGGTGTGGATCACTTGTGGATTATTGTGATGTTTTTATCAGCTGTTTGGACTCTCATTCTGACGGCACCCATTCACTGCAGAGGATCCATTGGTGAACAAGTGATGTAATGTTAAATTTCTCCAAATCCGTTCTGATGAAGAATCAAACTCATCTACATCTCGGATGGCCTGAGTGTGAGTACATTTACAGCAAATTTCCATTTTTGGGTGAACTATTCCTTCAGCAAAAACTACTACAGTACTTATGTTACCATGTTTATGTGTTAGTAATTCTGCAGGAAGTTTAACTTGCCCACACCCTTCATTTGCCCTTCTCTGCTTTCCGAAACGTGAAGGTCTTGTCGGATCAGACCAAAGGGAGGCTGGAGTCCAGGATCAGCTGTTGCCGTGGTGAACGAGGTGGTTTCCTGGTGGTTGTTCAGGAATTTTCTTTGACCCGACACTCCTGCTTCAGCGAACAGTACACTGACTGACACACACACACACACACACACACACACACACACCTAGAAGCATTAGCTCTCAGAGTCAACAACAGTGTGTATAATAAGCTCGGTCACATGGAGGAGGTCTGACCTATTTTTTTTACAGTGTTGCATGAACGCTTTATAAGGAGGAACCGTTTGGCTGCCTTCTGCTGAGAGACACAGTTCACCCTTCAGCCCAGTAACGTCACATCCAGTCAGAATCCAACCGTACAGATGACAATTCAACACACACACACTTCATTTTTAGAAAACAACTCCTAATTTATTCCAAAGAAATGAAAAGCTGGAAAACAGCATATAGAAAAAACAAAACAAAAACGCACTAAAATTAGCCATCATAAACAATAGCTACCATGTAGATTTCTATAGCAATAGAAACCCTTTGTAGAAGTCTAAACGCAGTAGTGTGTGTGTGTGTTCGGAGGACGTGCAAGTAAACTGATCCCAAACCATGTTTCATTTGAAAGCTGTTTACTATAACATTCACTAAACAGCAGAAGATTGTGTTTCTTCAGAGCAAAATGCTCGAGTTTCATCTGCATTTACAAACATACGGATGCAGTTTATGATTATAGGTGACCTTATTTCAAATATCACGTAAACCCAGATTAACTAAGAAGAGACGGTTCATGTAAGGTTTCTCATGAAGCTTTAAGTATTGCTAAGAAGTCCTCAGAAATGAGCCGGCGGCACTAAGTGGTATCTGGTGGAGTGAAATAACGGGCAGCATTGTGTCAGCTGCCTTAAGTGAAGCCAAATGCCACAGTAATAACCACTTCCTGTTTTCATCATCCTCAGCCGCCCCGGGATTCAGATTTGGTTTGCAGATGGCCATCTGGACAAGCGAAAGTCACATTGGGAACATTCCAGTGTCATGTATTCACTTCCTTCCCGCTTTACCATGATTCATCGCTTCTAGTTAGTGACAAAAGGAAGTTAAGGGCCGGCTTCCTGTTCCTAAAAAGAGGCCCTCATTTTTACTTACAGTCACCCAAAATTAAAATTCAATCATTATTCACTCACATTCATGTCATTCCAAACCAGCATGATTTTATATAGTGGAACACAAAAAGAGAAATTTACTAGAATTTACGATACAATGTAGTGGATGGTGACCATCAGTAAGCTCTAAAAAGGATGAAAACACTGTAAATATAGTCCATATGACTTTTGAGGCCATATATACGATAGCGTTGTGAGACAAACAGACCAAAATTGAAGTTATTATTTGTATCTTTTCCTCTGCCCTAGTTTGAATATGTAAAAACACAAATGAGAATTGAGAGCTGCAACAATCGCTATGTTTCCATCACCCTATTTTAATGCACATTCTGAAGTATCGCATGAGAAACGAGTGATGGAAACGCCAAATTTCTAATAAAAATCCCTTAATTCGCAAAAAAGTTTTTACGCTCAACGATTTTGTTCTCTTTGACTTGTTGGATGGAACCGAAGCTTGTTCGCAAATGTTTTATACGATATTCCAATTTTGCGCATAAGTTAAATTCGCAACTTTGGATGGAAACCCGGCTAGAGTGAAACATTTACGCAATAGCTAAAATTGTGGCGTTTAAAAGTTGAAATGAACAGAAAGAGTTAATTATGAGGTAAAAAGTGTAAATTATGTAATTGACAAAAATGTTCTTGTCATAATTACGACTTTCTTCATTTCTTTGTTATTTGGACCTTTTATTAGCACGCCACAATTTGACTGTCAGTTTCAAATGTGTCATAATTACATAAATTTTGACTTTATACCAACAAACCAAACGAGTTATTTGTATCTTTCCTCCAGCCCTAGTTTGAATGTGAAAAAAACAATCTAAATTTAGAGCTCCAAAAGACTGAAACATTTACGTTTAACAACTAATATTGTGGCTTTAATTTGACTTGCAATTATGATTCTCATTTCTACTGTCATTTCAACTTTTATTGTATTACAATTTATAATTTGTCAATTATGACTCATAATTTGGATAATTATGACTTCTTGTCATACTTTAGATTTTTTTTTAAATACCATAATTATGACTGTTCCAGTTTCGACTTTTGTCAACAAATATTGATTTGAATATAGAGAAACAAACGAGAATTGACAGCTGCGGCATAGTGAAACATTTATGTATAACTAAAATGGAGTGTTTTCTTCACACAAAGCTATTGTGCGGCTTTAGAAGACTTTTATGCTGATTTTGTCCTTTTTAGAGTATAACAGCCATGGTCACCATCCACTTTCACTGCATGCAAAAAAGCATCTTTAACATCTTTCAAAATATCTTCTTTTGTGTTCAACAGAAGAAAGTCAGTCAAACAGGTTCTTCTGAATGACATGAGAATGAGCAAATGATGACAACCGTCTTTTCAGGTGAATTATTTCACTTTTTAAAATCAAGAAATCCTACAGAGGATGGGATTTTAACTGTACATCATTGCTTTTTAGTATTTAGCAAAATCTTTATAAATACTTTGGTCGGGCTACATTTTATCCTCAAATGTAAAATCTATCGTTTGAAGAGTTTGGAGCAGAGAAAGTAATAATATCGCAGTTCCCAGTGTGATGCGAAGACACTTTAGAGTCCAGTGGTGTGGAAAATATTCTTCATACGCGTGTTGCACATCGATACAGTGTCACTACAGGCCGACTGTGTTTTCATTCACACCAGGGAAGAATTTGATCACACGCCTGAAAAATCAAATTCCCACTCCAAACACAAATCAAACTCTCGAAGAGCCTGCGATATGCGATTGAAAATGAAGCACTGTAAGTAGCCGTCTGAGTGAAGCCCTGAGTGTGTCTGTGTGCGAGCACGTTATAAGCGCGTGTGTGTGTGTGTGTGTGTGGTCTCAGAGCGTCTGCCCACATGTGTTTCCGCTGTTTGGGCAAGAGTTATTGCAGTTTACTAAAACTAAACTTTTAAACTATTAATTTTTCGTTGATTGAAATAAAATTAACATCGAGTGAAATTAAATGTAAAAAACGTAAAGCTGTTTTATTTCAGTTATTCGCTAAGACAAGGGAAATTTTCATTTATTTAAAGTACTAAAATGAATAAAACTGATATACAGTGTATATATATATATATATACATACAGTTAAGGTCAAAAGTATGCAATAGCAAGTATGCATGTTATTGTTTTTTTTGTACTGACCTGAAGATATTTTACATAAAAGATGTTTACTTATAGTCCATAGCTGAAAAACTTTTTGAATTTGAAGATCAAGGTAAATTGGACTTAATTTGTCTTCTGGGAAACATGCAAGTATCTTCTGTTGCTTCCGAAGGGTGGTACTAAATGGAAAAAAAATGATATTTCAACAAAATAAGACAAATTTGGACATCATCCTGTTCAAAAGTTTTCAAACTTTTGCTCTTAATGCATCGTGTTTCCTTCTTGAGCATCAGTGAATGTTTGAACCTTTTTGAATAGTTGTGTTTGAGTCCCTCAATTGTCTGCAGTGTGAAAATATGGATCTCAAAATCATACAGTCACTGCTGGAAAGGGTTCAAATATGCTGGAAAACGGAAGAATCTGCAGGACCTGGAGGATTTTTCTGAAGAGCAGTGCTCAGTTTAACTGTTCAGAACAAACAAGGGACTCATGAACAACCATGGTTCCCAAACTTTTGAACGGGGTTATTTTAATCATTTCAGCTATTTTTTTGTCTTGTGGACTATATGTAAACATTTTATTTAAAGTATCTTACTCAGGATAGTACTAAACAAAAAAATAACATGCATTTTTTATGATCTCTCTTATTTTGTTAAAATGATTAACATTTTCACAGATGGTTCCCAAACTTTCGCATGCCATTGTATATAGTATTTCATGTAAGTTTTCTGCTATACTGTTATGAAGATCTCATTGATTTTCATTACATGCTATTAGAACATTCTGGCCATATACAGTAAATATCAGCAACTGCACCGAATTTCATATTTGTGAAAATAAAAAAATTAATTGAGCTCCATATTGGAGTTCGAGCTCCATATTCTCACTATATCATATGAGCCATAAAAGCCGGATGTATCAAATGTGTTTTTTTTTTTTTTGTGTTTGTGTGTTGCCTAGTTTCAATAAACTGTTCCATTTAAAAATAAAAAGACATTCAGGTAAACCTTTACAGGTTTAGGCTGAAGCTACTAAAGTTGCTAAAATTACTAAAGATAAATAATGATATAAAAAAGCTAAATAGAATTAAAAACTAATACTAATAAAAGCACATAAAATGACTAAAGCCAAAATGAAACCTAAAAAAATATAAATAAAAACCAATTCAAAATATGAATAAATATTATAACCTTATATAAACCGTACTAAAGCACTAGCACTGAAGTGGAAGCAGTAAGGAAAGGTTAAGATATGTGTAAATACAGAAATTGTCCGGTCACAAAGACGTCGAGGATAAAATTGTTATAAAGAGTTTATGGTTTCTAAATGATGTTGCAACTCGCCACAATAAAAAAAGGAATAAAAAGGAAAAATAATTAAATGATGAAGCACATTTAATTTGTAAAGTATTTAATTTACTGGATCATTTCACAATAGGAATTATGACAATAAATAATATATAAACCATTTTTGTTGAATTTCCAGCCAAAATAAATAAATAACAATACTGTGATTCATACAATCTAAAAAATTACTAAAAGATAAGATTAAAATACCACGATGATGTAAGATTTTGGTCATACTGGTCACCCCCATAAAACTGAAAAGCAGCCATACTGCATTTTGCTGGGCACTACATTATTAATAACATGCTAAACGCATTCAGACCCACACAAAACATCTTAAACCTGAATATATTACACAGAACTAGAATAACTAGACGTAACTGCCCTCCAGCAGTACAATATGTAGGTAGCATGAGGGGGAAAGAAAAAATTCAATACATGAGAGCAGATCTAGATAAAGAGAAATAGAAAGAGGCTGCAAAGTAAAACCAGATGGCTGCCAGGGCGTTGCTATATGGTTGCTAGGGTGTTCAGACTGGTTGCTAATTGGTTTCTTACTGGCCAAAGTTCAATCAAAACAACCCTCAAGTCTTTATGATAGTTTGGTTTCAAAATTGTAAGAAAATGTAAATATCAAAGGTTTCATTTAGAATAGCTGTAGTAGTACATTAAAATTTAGACTAGTTACGGTGGTACATAATCATGTAAATATTGGTGGTAATTTTGTGTCCAGAGAAACATTAAACCTTAACGGTTATTTTAAGGTCTTTACATTTCCCATAAAGATGCAGAAAGAGAAACCTAGTTTAGCAAGAACAATTTGTTCTATTTATAGAATCAAATGACTCTGACTGTTTCACGAAACAAATGTGAATGTGGGACAAGTACTTCAATTATTATACATCTGAGAGCATTCACAGTACACAGCACAAAACAGTAGCTGGCGCTTTAATGGACATTTACAGCACACTAATAGAACACCCAGGTCATCAGCGGCCTTGTTTCTACAAAGATGTCATTTTGTACTCAGGGACTGAACCAAACCAAAAAGCTCTGAGAAAATCCACAACAACGTGACTCTGAATTGCAGCAGAAATTTATATGAAAATCAAAACAACAAAACAGTCTACTTGTTAAGGAATGACTGATAATGACTGAACATTAAACACTGTAAATCATGCTCCTGAATGATTTTTTGGGTTGTAGAGTACACCTGAGACAGTGAGTTTGTGTGTAAGACTGTACCTGAGAGACAGCGAATAGTCGTTTCGGCTCGTCTGGCTTTTCCTCACCAGGTAACTGCACTCCTTACACAGCGTGAGCAGAGATTCAGCTTCTGAGCGAGTCAATGCACCATGGTACCATCTGAAACACACACAAATGGGCCACTATTAGGGTTTCACAACACCAGTGTTTCAGTAGCTGATATCAACACCTGTGAAGTGTCACGAGACTCAATACTTCTGTTACATGAAAATGGAGAGATTGCGTACAATTCATTGACAATATTAATACACAGCCCTGCATCTTGAAAGAAAATCAAATAGTTTTTTTTTCACAAAATCAGCAAACAAATGTTCAAATTATAGATATGTGTGACCCTGGAGCACAAAAGCAGTCTTAAGTCGCTGGGGTATATTTGTAGCAATAGCCAAAAATACATTGTATGGGTCAAAATTATTGATTTTTCTTTTATGCCAAAAATCATTAGGATATTAAGTAAAGATCATGTTCCATGAAGACATTTTGTAAATTTCCTACTGTAAATATATTAAAACTTAATTTTTGATTAGCAATATGTATTGCTAAGGACTTTTGCACAACTTTAAAGGCGATTTTCTCAGTTTTAGATTTTTTTGCACCCTCAGATCATCCTATCCTAACAAACCATACATCATTGGAAAGCTTATTTATTCAGCTTTCAGGTGATGTATATATCTCAATTTTGTAAAATTGACCCTTATGACTGGTTTTGTGGTCCAGGGTCACATATAAGCAATGCACTTCTTAAACTAACAAAAGGAGTTAAATGTCAAACCTTTTGGTTTTAATGACAAAAAGAAGTATTCAAAATGTATCATTTAACTTACAATCTGCAACGGATTGGAAACATGTTCATTCATACATTTAATGTCAAAAAAATGTACATAAACAGGTTTATAAATAAGCTTTCCCCCCACAAAAACGGTCATTTTATGTGGCTGTTTGGATGTACTAAACTCCCACAGATGTCGCAGAAAACATCTGGTTCACGTTTGCATTTTCTTCAGTAACCGGCCATAATTCTTCATAATTTTATCCTTGAAGTCAGGATTAGGCATAAATAATGTCTTCAGAATCATTCATACATGCAAAAAATCATCTGAGAAATGAAAAATAGTAGTCATCTGGCTTAAAGGAAGACAGGAATCGTATCTTTGTGGCAGTTGTTCTGCTGATAAAAGGGATAAAACAAGACTTCTCCACCTTACAAATGGTTGCTGAAAGCAAAAATGCAACGAAATGCATTTTGTGACAAAGTGTGATGTGCTATAGAGCAAAACAGACACTATTTTTGGAATCGACGTGTATTGGGTTTCACTCAGCAAATATGACGCAGGGTGGTGTAATAAATAGTGATGGCACTTGAAATTTTAGCAGAATGCTCTTCTCTTGAATTCAACTAGCTACTTATGCACACCACAGAACTTTCCTGAGGGAAATGTTTCACCACACCACATCATGTGTGTTCTCATCTGACCACATTTTCATGTTATTTGTGATTAAATATTACAACTTTTCACATATTTCATTTTCAAGTATTTGAAGGGTTACTCCACCCCAAAATGAAAATTGTCATTAATCACTTACCCCCATGTCGTTCCAAACCTGTAAAAGCTTTGTTCGTCTTCGGAACACAATTTAAGGTATTTTGGATGAAAACCGGGAGGCTTGTGACTGTCACATTGACTGCCAAGTAAATAACACTGTCAAGGTCCAGAAAAGTATGAAAGACATCGTCAGAATAGTCCATCTGCCATCAGTGGTTCAACCGTAACGTTATGAAGCGACGAGAATACTGAATACGCATCACCGTAGCACCATTTTGCTTGCGTTCAGCGGATATTCTCCAAAATGGTGCTACGGTGATGTGTATCCCTTTAAATACTTTAAAATACTTAAGTATTTCATACAGTTTCCTGTAAGCAGCACAGCTCAGGCGGTTCATGTGTTAATACATACACCTGTTTCTCCAGGGGCAACGTGGGATCCACTCTCTCTCCCAGGATGCCCTGCGTGTTGCTGGGTTTGTGCAGGCTGGTGGCTCTGCTGGACGAAGGGCTGATTTTGGACGCTCCTGCCTTCCTCGATGCCTCTTCATGGGGCAGCGTGCATTGATCCCAGTCTCTGGCTTCAAAAGTTATTACAAAACATTAAAAAAGGGGTCACTCTTTAGTTTGGGGACTAGTTCTCACTGTTAACTAACTATTAACTATGACTTTTGCATCGATAAACTCTTAAATTGAAGCTTATTAATAGTTAGTAAGGTTTACAAATAATTTTATATATTTTAATTTTATATTTTTTTATTTATATACAAAATATTCTAGATTTTTACATTTGTATAAATAACATTACTATTTTTTGTATTAATTTTTAAATGTTTTAATTGTTTTCATTTATGCTTTCCCCCATAAAATACATTACTACTGCAATAATACTATCAAATAAACAAATGTAATAAATAAGTATTAACTACTACTATTAAAGATAATAATTTATTATTCAATTACTCTATTTAAAATATGACTTACTCAAACTACACAAATAAAAAAATAAAAAAACATTGCTGCAACGGCTACTACAAAACAATTAGAAACTTAAAAAATGCAACCAAAAAGAGTGACTTAAAAATACCCACTTTGCAATATATAAATACATTACAATTAATTTGATCTATTTTACTTTTTATATATATTTTATTCATATTTAAAATATTATACATTTTTGCATTCTTTTAAATTAAATTATATATTTGTATTAATACTTAAATGTGTTTTAATTGCTTTAATTTATGTTTTCCCCCCATAAAATTATACATGTACAGCATTAAATTATGCAGTATATCTTCATATTATATTTTGAAACATAGAAAATAGTTAAGAACAATTAAGAACAACAACCATTTTTGTGGAATATTTAAAAAAAAGCATTAACATTCTATATTTACGATTTAAGGGTTTGTTCAAATCACTATCCATCAGTATAAGCAATAGAAGTAGTGTTTCTTGCTTTAGCCAACAACACTAGTTACTCTCTCCCAGCATCTTGGTAGAGGAGGATTCCTGCTTTGATTTGAGAAGCTCTTGCCATGTTTGTGAGGAATATGCATCTGATAGAGCGTGAACAATCCATGAGCAACCGGCAATCTGATCAGAAGTGATGAAATGACCATGTGATGAAGAGTGTGACATTTCAGTCACATAGGGAGAGATGATCTGAGTGTGTGTGTGTGTGTGTGTGTGTGGACGTGATGCAGAGCAGAAGTTACACAGCGGCTCTGATCTTTCTGCATGACTGCTCTACTTCTCTCCTCTCCTCCTGTCTCCATCTATCAAGACGCCCCACACATCCCTCTTCCTTTCTCAATTGCAGGATAAAAGACACACTGCACCCACAGATCATTTTATTGAATGCAAACAAATCCAGAGTTTAGAGCTGCGAATGATAATACCGTGCTTATGAATTAATCTGTTGATGCATCACACGGTAGTCAGGGTTCAAAACTAACTTTCTGCCACACCTGCCAACCAAAGGAAGCTGCTCCCAAACACCGGCTGACTGTCAAATACCACTGTTTGATTTACTCACATTTGCTGACTGTTCATTTCAGACCCTGCTTATAGTGTGGAAAACTACATTCTCAAAAGAGGATGCAAACGTACTGGTGTGGATGGAGCCCATCTCTACCCAGCAGCACGTCTTACCGGCGAAGGCTTTGGAGATGTTCTCTTTCTTCCACTCCCAGGGCTGGTCGTACTCATCCGCGGGCCTCTCGTCATCCTGGGGCAGACGGCTCTCTCTCTCGTCCTCCTCGGTGGCCGCCCGGGGCCAAACTCTCTCCTTGTATGGGCTGTCGTAGAGCTGCGGGCTGTTTCTGCCCCGATCTGAGCTGTGCTGGAGCTCTGACATATGACAAACACATTCAACTGAACCAGACGACACAATATTACATTACGTACGAGTATTAGGAAATCGAATGAGGACTGAAGTTGTCAAGCTTCAAAAACATATACAAAAGTACTAGGGATGCACCGAATGTTCGGCAACCGAAATTACTCAGCTGAAAATAGCAAAAAAAAAGCTATTTCGGTGTTTGGCCGAATAAGCGAAAAGACAGAATAAATTGTACCGAACAATGACGTGACGCTATCAAATAGCAACCAACGTAAAGAGAGAGGCGCGCACTCTTTATAATGCAACAAACATGTTAGCAGTGTGGAAGCTTTAAACTGTCGGAGAAAGACGCAAAAATCATTACAAGCACCGACAGCGAGAGACTGTTTAGTACTGCATCGCATGTCTTCGATGAGAAGAGGAAGGGGTGATTGTTGTTGGATACTGTATGATGATTGAAATCGCAAAATGGCCTTAAACAATTACTAAATAAACTGCAGAATGTTATGTTTTTGCACGAATTGCATGTATTCTGACAGCGCTCTCTGCTTGTTAACCAGGGTTCAAAGTCCAAAGCGCGAGGAAAATCTGCGCTGAAACAGTATTACTCGTCAGTTGCTCAGTCACATTTTTATGAATTTTTACAAGGCATGTGACAATGCGATACGTGTGACATATTCAAAATGAGACTCATTTATAAATCTGCTGCCGTCAACAAAAAGAGGCATTGAGGTCTTCCTGCGCGTTTCCTCCAAAATAAAAATTCATTAACATTCATAAATGTTAGTATTGTAATTTTACTGTTGTTCTGTTATTATAACATACACACATATAGTGTTCAAACTGGGATCTGTAATATTTTGTAATGCTTTAAAAGAAGTCTCTTCTGCTCAGCAAGGCTGCTTTTAATTTTACAGTAAAAAATACATGCCTGATTCAAGAAGGGGGTCTGACCGCCAAAAATTATTATTTTACTAACTTATTAATTTTAAGTTAAATTGTGCTTTGTTGGTATAATGTCTGCTAGAATGTAAAAAAATGTTTAGTGTTAAATATTTTTTAATTGTTGTTTTGTAATTGATTTTTTCTTTGAAAAACAAGACAAAACCGTAAAAAGCACATTTTGGCTATTTAATTTATGCAATGGTGAAAAAAATTGTCAAAATACATGGGGAAAAAACATGAAAAACCGTGTTCGGTATTCGGCCTTCGGCCCAGTGTTTCATTTTGTTCGGTTTCGGCTTCGGCCAAGAATTTTCATTTCGGTGCATCCCTAAAAAGTACCACAAACCACAGTCCAGACCACAAATTAAACCAACTGGAATAACAATGGCTGAATAAATGCTCTCTTTGGTATTATAAGAGATCCAGTAGGGAACTGCTGTACCGCTTATGAATCGCTGGGCCTCAAACGGCTCCATGTAACTGCTGCAGGCTTCTACAGCGTTCTGCTCCCAGCCGGGTCTGGGCCGCGGGTCCGGCCTGGCGTCAAACGGGTCCGAGTAATCAGTCTCCCCGACCGCAGGAGCCGAGGGAACCACCTGGGGAGAAAGAACAAGGATGATGAGTGATCATGATGATCATATGAATCAGAAACAAAGACAGCTGCAGAGTTTTACACAGTATGCAATTCTGGCAGCTTTTGTGCAAAAACACATGAAGCATTTTCAATCCGGCATTTTCATCCATTAGGGTTATTATAGCAAAACTTAAACTAAAACCATAATAAACATTTTTAGTACTTCTCATTTTCATTTAGTTTAACTTGATGAACAAACAAACAAAAAAAACAGTAACTATTATTACTAAATGACAAAAACACACCAAAATTACTAGAACCTTAAAATTAAACTTTAAAATGAAAATGGAAAATACAAAAATAAAAATCAATTAAATAGATGTTACACACACACATATATACACACACACACACCCCCCCTTAACAACCACAAGCCAAAAAATTACAGACTCAAAATTTAAAGGCCGCAGCTCTCAAACCCTTTGGTCTACAAAACGTAATCCTGGTCTCTTTTGAAAGCAGACACATAAAAGTATATACTATAGGCCTAATAGTACATAAATAATACTAAAATTATTCTTATAATTCTTTTTTGTCCAGTCTGAAAATTGTCAGCCACTGACTGCATTATGCTTACATTGCACAGAAAAGAACATTTTGCTCTTTTTTTGTTTCACTGAAAAAAAGGAGATATATGAAACAAAATTTTGAGTGACATAACATTTTCATTTTTGGACACACAATCCCTTTATAAACCGAAACAAGCGAGAGAGAGAGAGGGCTGGTGTGTGAGTTTATAAAACCTGCAGGCATTGGGATTCAATGAATAAAATTGATTCCCAATGCTCCCACCCTTCACCTCTGATGACAAAAGACAATCATTACCGGCCGAGTTCAGGAAACACAAGTGAAATGGTTGGTTTGTTATGACATCTGCAAAACTCATCCATGACACGTGCACCAAACAAATCTACTCTAAAACAATCACACATCACTGTAATCCTAGTAAAACAACCCCTGCGATTCTCATAACCACCTAATTTATGATATATTGACCTATTCATGATTTTGACCGGAGAAATTGACTGGAGGGTCTTTGCGCCAAGATAAACAACCACATAATTAATGTGCTGGTAAAATAATTTCATTTAAACAAACATTTGTCATTCAAGTACACATTAGAAGAGGAAAAATGCTTGAAATCACAATTATTTACCAAGATGAATACACTACAAAATTATGCTTTTACACTTTCTGGGATTGGTTCTTGCTCAATCCCAATCATTTTTCCATACATCAACACACAAAACCTTTTAAAGCACGTAATTCTTACTGATAACAGTCCAGTAAGACCCATTTAAGCTCTCTATATGTTAAGAAAACAAGAACTTACAGGGGCCTGCGGTTCCTCAAAGGTCACAATGTTCAGTGGTATTTTGCTACGCCCGAATTCCTGAGATTCCACTTTTATCAGTCTGTGTTTGGGAGACACGATCTTCACCTCCACGCCGTTGGACAGCACCGTGCCAAATGCGGAGAACGTTTCCACTGACCCGGAGCCGTTAAGCACCCGGTTCTCGGAGGGTTCGTAAGGGTCCTCAAAGTCCAGGTCTTTCTGAGCCCTGTAGGCCCGTAGGATCTCGCTTTCGCTGTAGTCCGGTTTTGGGGGCTGCGGCGGTCGTTTCCTGCTGCCAAAACTTAAGTGATCTCGAAACCACTTTGCCATGGGTCTACGACCAAGACAAAAATTAAAAACAGATCCAAAAAGAAGTTAAAGGAGCTGTTATGCTTCTAAAATGGACTTTATCCTAGTTCTTCCATGGAACACCATCCATAAATCCTGAAACACCTAACCAATAAGTTACTTATTACTCACAGTGTGTCAATAAATGACAAATATGATATTGTGCAATAGCTCACCTCAGTTTCCCCAATGCATCGATGCTTCAGAACATCGAGCGCCTATTTGCTTGCAATAAATTGATCTGGAAAGCAAAAGCACGGCCATGACATTAAAAAAGCAAGAAACGTAAAGGCAGAAAGGCAGACGTGAGGTAGCCTCCACCGCTAGACCAGCCAAACTGGAAAAGACATATTACAGTAATAACTCAACATTAAAAAAGCAAGAAACGTAAAGGCAGAAAGGCAGACGTGAGGTAGCCTCCACCCCTAGACCAGCCAAACTGGAAAAGACATATTACAGTAATAACTCAAAACACTGTCATAATTTACTCAACCTCATGTTGTTCCAAACCTGAATGACTTTTATTCTTCCCTGGGACACAAAAGTAATTAGTTAGCAGAATGACTAGGCAGCTCTTTTTCACACAATGAAAGTGAATGGTGACTATGTCTGTCCATTGAGAATTTAGACAATAATAACTTAATTTAGGTATTTTTCCTCACAGAAATGTCTCATATGACTTAGAATAAACCAAAGTAGTTATATAAGCAACTTTCATGATGCTCATTTTCCTTTTTAAACCACAGAATCACAATCCCGTTCACTTTCATTGGACGAAAAATGATGCAGTGAAGGCAAATAGTGACTGAGGTTGTCAGTCCCCCTCACATTTTGCCTAACAACTGCTTTTGTGTTTCAAGGAAGATGGAAAACAATAGGATTTGGAACAAAATCGGCGTGAGTGAATCGTTACATAATTTAAATTTTTTTGGCGAGCGGTTCCTTTAAACAAACAGATATCGTCACTAACGCATTTGTACGTGGGTGATCAATTAAACGTGTTGGCGATGATTTTATATAAATGAAAACAAATAAATCAACATTATTCAAAAATAAAGTTTTACACACAAACTCGCACTGCTCAATCTTGGCAAAGAATCCTGTCAAAACAAGAACATGCACCAACTGCACACACCCACTTTCTTATTGTTTCCCCTTTAATTCAGCACATAACAGAGATTTTCATGTTTCTTAGAATGAAATAGACAAAAGCTGTCATTATAGATTAAAACTAATGTTAGCAACCCGGCTAACATCTTTAAACTCCGCTACCTCATATTATAGTCACTTTATTTGTCGATAAATGAGATTATATACATGATTACTATAATAAATTGTACACAGAAGTCGAATGCTGAACTAATTTGGAGCACAAAAGTAAAAACCAATAAATTCGAGCTGCAAACTTTTGTTAGCCGGTTTGCTTGCTGGCTAACTATGCAACGCGATCCCAATGGATACTCGCAGACGAGCGTGTGCAAATTGTTCATCTAACACGACAGTTATAACTCATACAAACAGTTCAGAAGGCCACAAACCCCCAAAACATTTGCAAAATACTCACCTCTCAATGATGGACGGAGGGAAGGGAGTATATAAAGCAGCTGTGAGGGGACTCTCAGAAGCGACGACGAGCGTGCGCACGTGCAGATGGATGGATGAGTTGCATCGGATTGCGTTGGTTGTTGCAGCTCAGCTCAGCTGGTGAACAACACATAAACTCGACATGTTGTTGAAGCCCACTGGAGAGTTGCATTGTCTTTGTTCTTGCCGAGGCATTTCATTTCGCATGCTGGCTCGTGCTTTGGCTTGCACTGTGCAAAATGATGCATGTCTACAAAGCACACTTATTAAGAAAGTTTAGGGTTTTAAATGGAATAAAGAGATTAAGTACAGTAAAATGCATATAAGTAGGGGCTTCTGGTTAACCACACACACACACACACACACACACACAAAAAAAAGCGATCCAATTCAATGCATGCCCCATCTGTCACACCAGCTCTCATTAACACCTTCTCCATCAGCATACAGAGGTCAAATTGTACGGTTAGAAGGTCACCGACACTTTGGTGGATCAATATGGGAGATGGTGAATAATGGCTAGTCCACACATTGGATTGCATTAACATCACATTACCAAGTGTTACCTCTAACACCAAAACAAGCCACTAATGCCATTAGCGGAATGTCAAATTGAGTAACTTTTGCCAAATTTACATCGCAGGGGTGGCACAGAAGCACTTCTGAAGTGGCACTTAGGTGTATCTATACAAAACGTTTAATATGAAAGCCTGTTTCTTGCACAGATTAAAAAATAATAAAGGTAATTGCGACTTTTTATCCTCACTATTCTGACTTCTTTATCAGAATTGCAAGATCTAAACTCAGAACTGTACAAAAAAAAAAAGTAAAATTTGAGAAGTCGCAATTAATCATTATATTTATCCTGAGTTTAATCTCGCAGTTCTGACCTTTTCCTCAAGGTCAGAATTGTGAGGAAGTCAGAAATGCAAGACATAAGCTCACATAAAAAGTTGCAAATTCCTTTCTTATTAATTTTTTCCATAGCAGAAATGGTTTTCCATAGTTTAATGCTGCTCAAAGACAGCATACAATGTGATGCATTATATTGATACAATGCATCAATACAACGCATATACTTTGATACTAGGGGCTGAAGTGGGTGTGAGCCAACATAATTTAGTCTATCTTTTATGCTGCATTGTGCCTACACTGAATTTTGAAAAACAGCCTTAACTCAATGGTTCAAAAATGCCTTTTGTGAAGCTTACAATACAGAAAATACTTGATGATTAATAATATATCTGAAATATATTTCAAAAGATTTGCTAGAAAACAAAGTCTGTGCTCAGAAACAAAACACGAGGAACGTTTTATTTGTTTGATGTTTGGGAAGATGAAATGAGCTGATATGGGATTAGAGATGATCAGTGGAAATTAGATTCAGATTCACTTAGTTCAGCCTTAACTCAATGGTTCAAAAATGCCTTTTGTGAGGCTTACAATACAGAAAATACTTGATGAGATTAATAATATATCTGAAATATATTTCAAAAGATTTGCTAGAAAACAAAGTCTGTGCTCAGAAACAAAACACGAGGAACGTTTTATTTGTTTGATGTTTGGGAAGATGAAATGAGCTGATATGGGATTAGAGATGATCAGTGGAAATTAGATTCAGATTCACTTAGTTATCTCCACTGAAACCCTCAAATGCATTTCCATGAGCTAACATGGAGAAACAAATACTACATTATAGAGTGCATAATACATTAGAAGCACATTATAGAGTACATTAGAGACAGCGGGATGATGCAGATCTAACAGACCGATTGAAATCCAGGCAATGGAAACAGCTTCTCATAAACAATGCTCCTCCAGCTAAAAAGTTAATCACCAAAAAATAAAAATCTCTTGAACTGCACTTTGAAAGAGTCCAGGTTAAGGAAACTTAAAGCGGTCTGTGAAAAGAATGGTGGTCAAGTTTTGCTGGTCTGAAAACAAACATTTGTTTCAGTCAGCCAAAATGCCACCGCATTCTCTCCATCCTAATCAGAGTTGCTGTCATCGCTGTCTGTATATGCCCCCAAGAGGCTGAGAGAAGAACCGTACTGAGATGCGACTGGCTGTCCATTGGAAGCTTTGGAGGACTCAGGTTTGGCAGCACCTGCACCTGAATGATCTGGAAAGACAGAGAAAGCACAGGTTAACAGAGATGGCAAAACCCTAAACTATGTCTGATACATAAATACAACATTAGGGTTTATGGTGGAAACGGCAGTGGGTTTTATCATAGGTACCAAATCCCTTAAAGGGGTCCTATTATGCTCTTTTACAAAGTCTTGATTTTGTTTTGGGGGTGTACTAGAACAGGCTCTCAAACTAGTTATTCGAAAAACACATTATTTTTCAAATTTTACATTATTACAACACCTCTCTCCCCAGTCTGGCATGAACGGCTCGAATAGTTCCTGTATCAAATGAAGGCTCGCCTTCTGAAATACGAAATGTGCTGTGATTGGTTAGCTGGGTTGTGATTGGCAGCACTCTGCGCCTGGTCGGGAAATGTCACACCCCTTACCATAGCCACGTACGAGCTTCAGTGTAAATATTGCGTCAAAATCAAATCAGTTTGAGCGCAATTTAAACCCGGATGATGTAACCAACTCTAAGTTCGTCTGCCTTGTGAAAACTAGCGCGTCTCCGACATAGTGATAACACTCGTTGCCTTCTCTAGTGCAGCTCAACCAGGTCTCGTCCCATTCGTCGGTATTTGTGATATCACAAATCCC